AGTCAGATGATGCCTACTCCAAGTGGCAGTTCCCACACCCCTTTTAAAGCAGTCATAATGGATGTTTGCCAATCCCCTATATGAAGTGTAGAGAAAAACAAATACCACTGTGCTTAGCCTTCATCAGTCTGATGAAGGCCTCTGACAGTCAACAGACAAGACCTTTTAAGTGTTCTGAAGAGACTGGGTTGCCCTGCAAACAGCTGAACATCATTCCTTCATTACATCAAGAAATGAAGGCAACTGTAGCTTATGAAAACAAAGAATCAAATGCCTTTGACATCAACAATGGGGTGAAACAGGGGTGCGTCTTAGCCCCTGTCTTTTTTAACATCAGCTTTTCATGCCTGCTTCTTCATGCCTTCAAGGACAACAATGACAGACAGCATTTATCTTCAAACCAGGCTAGATAAAGCCTTATTTAACATCACAAGGTTTAGAACAAAAACCAAGGAGAAAGAACTGGTTCTGAGAGTTTTCCAGTTTGCAGATGATGTGGCTTTGGTTGCCCACAGTGAATCTTCCCTGCAAAATCCCTTGGGCAGATTTTCTGAATCATGCAAGAACTTTGAGATGGCAACTAGTCTCAAGAAGACTGTGATCAGCAGGGATGGTGGTCCTCTGTTTTAAAATAGCAAATTATCTTATTTAAAGAAAAAACACAAAATCTGGGTTTTTCCACAATTAAAATGAAAGGCCACTATATTATTATATATATATATATATTAGGGGTGCACTGATAAAGATTTTTGGGGCTGATACCGATGGCCAATTATTAATGAACCATATGGGTTGATGCTGGTCCAACTGCCAATATGCAGCCCAGCAGCTTGGAGAACAGTGTCAGGCTGGTAAGTCTGTTTGGGGGAAGGGGAAGAAATCGAGGCTCCCACAGTGAGAGAGGGAGTGGAGCAGGGGCAGGGGCTGCACAGCCGTGGCAGGACAAGGTGCAGGATGGAGCCATGACAGACTTGTCCAGGGGGCGCAGGGAGGGAGTGGCATGGCTCCTGCCACTGCATGCTGCCTCGCCAAAGTGATGGGGACAAGCCTCCTGGATCTGTATGTGGGGCGAGGATGGGCTGCTGCTACAGGCCGGGGAAGAGTCCGGCACTGCCCCCAGGCTGTGCCTGCAGAGGCAGCCTGCTCTTGCCCCACGCATAGATCTGGGGGGCACATGCTCCTGTGCTTCCTCTGGGGGGGTGCACAGTGACACAAGCAGTCCTGCACTCTTCCCCGTGCCCCGCAAACAAGCCAGTCATGGCTCCATTCTGCGCCCCATCCCAGCGGGACAGCACCCACCCCAGCCCACTACCTTCCTCACCACAGGACCCTCCATCTGGACCCCCCATGCCCCATCCTCCTCCCCCAACGGACTTAACAGCTGGACACTACTCTCCAAGTTGCCAGGTTGGCCACGTGTGTGCTGTGGCTGTGCACATGCACACGGCATTTATCTGCAACATTACAGGCCGCATCAGCCAAAAAAAGCCAATTGCTGATAATGTCAATTTTCCTTTTATCGGTGCCAATATGATATGGACCAATTTATCGGTGCACCTCTAATAATATATTTTATATATATCTCTCAATTGAACACAATGTTTTATTGATATACTTACAATGTGAAAGCAATTTGGAAGCTTACCAGTGCCTCAATCATTATAGTAAAATAAACTATAAATACCTATATACTTTGGTGTTTGATTTTGGTTTTTTATCATAGAAAAATCAGAGCTCCCCCTACCCCTTTGCTCACCAGGATGCAGCTGCCCCCCACACTGATTTGTGACTCTGAGCAGCCCCGATATGCCACTGCCCCTTACTCCCAAGCCACAGACCCTTCAGCCATTCCAGCACCCCTCACTCCCAACTCACAATCCCCCCATCTCCACCGATGTACCTCACTCCTGACCTGCAGCCCCTCACCCCCATGCCCAGTGTGTGGGGCAGGACGGGATGCATGAGGTCAGGGGGTGCCCCGCCATAGGCAACACCATAGATGACATGTCAAGGGGACATGAGCGGGGCACATGGCCCCCCTAGATTTGTGCGCCCACAGTGAAACACAGGGCTTCAGTCTGGCAGGACTGGCGTGGGCAGAAGCCACCTCCACAACCCAGGGGGCAGGACCCAGTGCAGGAGGGTGGAGTGTTATAGTGATTTCTACCACCAGGACCTCTGTACCAGCCACGCTGCCAGCAGTGAGAGGAGTAATGGAACAAAGTGGGGGCTGCACTGCCCTCACCTCCTCCTGCTGCCAACTGCTCACACGCTGGGCCATAGCTCTGTCCCACCACCACAGCCCAGCCACCACTGTTCCCTTCAGGCCACATGCACTGCCCCCCACTCCACCTCCCCTCCAGGGTGGAGCCACAGCCTGGCACACAAGTGGCTGATGGCGGGAGATGGTAAGGCCAGCATGGCCTCTACCCTGATCCGTTACTCCTCATGCTGCTAGTGGCAGCTGGTGCAGGGGTCCTGGCAGTGGTGGCAAGTCTCGCCACCCCACTTCACCCTCCCACACGGGGTCCTACCCACTGGGCCGCAGAGGGGGCTCCTGCCCATGCCCATCTAGCCAGGCTGCAGCCCCGTACCTATTGTGGATGCACAAATCTGAGGGAAGTATGTGCCCCCCCACTCTACCCAATGCGTCACCTATGTCCCCCTGCCCCTCCCTTGTGTTGCCTATGCCCCTGCTATAGACTTACTGGTGCGGAGCTGCTCTTCACCACATTGCCTGGCTGCCATGTGCATGCATGCATGCCCCCTGACTCTGATCACCCTCCTCCTCCAGCCCCAACCAGCTCCCTGCAAACTAGAACTCTGACAGTCTGCAAAGGAAAACCCACCGTTTCCTGCATTTTTCGCCTTTAAAGGAGAAAATCCACATTATTCCACAGCAAATAAAAACCCAGATCCCTGGTGATCATGTACCAAGGGGTGAAAGAACCAAACCTAGCATCACTCTGGAAGATGAATCTCTTGGTGTTGTTGACAGTGTTTGCTACTTAGGTTCTATGATCAACATGAATCTTGACTTTCAAACTGAACTGACTAACAGAATTGGAAAAGCAGCTAAGAAGGTTGGGCTATTACAGAAACAAGCACAAGATAACAGCAAATCAGCTAGGGTGAAAATGCAAGCATACAAGATTTGTCATCATCCCTGCTTTATGGCTCAGAAATGTGGATTACATATGCTAGGCATGTCAACAGCTTCCACATAAGATCTCTGTGTAAGATCCTGAAAATAAAGTGGGAAGACAGAATACCAAACAGAGAGGTACTGTAGTGCACAGGACTGACAGTTAGAAACCACTATCAAGAGGAGGAGGTTGCAATGGACTGGCCTTGTCAGGAGAAAGGGAGAAGACCATATTCCCAAGAATATTTTGTTTAGTGAGATTCAAGACAGCTCTAGAAAGTGGGGTTGCTCTCTATGGCAGTATTATAATGCATGCAAAAATTTTATGAAGTTGTTCAACATCAAGGTAGAAAGCTGGGAGGAGCATGCAGAATCCAGTCTGATTTGGAGGGAATATCTGGCACTGGGTGCAGCTCAATATGGAGCGATTTTGATCCAGAGGATGGAAGAAAGCAGCATTCTGTAAATTTGGACTCAAACAGCACATGGATCTGTAAAACATGTAACAACCTGTTTCGCTCATGAATCGGGCTTGTCAGCCACAAAATGTATTCATCAGGCATCTGACTAGACCTCTTATGTACACCATTGATCCAGTGGATTGACGGTTGCCTACTAAATATGAAGCATACTCAGAAAAAAGTACCTCTAAATGAACCCCTTCATGTGCCATCAGCAAGTGTTCAACAGACTCACCAGTTCCATACGTTTAGTAGAACTTCTTGCCAATTATAGCTTCTGATGTGAACTTAGTCACAGAGAATCCAAATGATTCTGATATTTACAGTGATTCCAAGTCATGAAAATGCAGTTTCTACTAAAGCAAAATAGTTTGAAGTAGTCCTCCAGGGTGTTTTTTCCCCCCATGCCTCAGCTCTCTGACCACCATGGCTGAACTCCCTTGCTCCTAGTACCATGCCTTGCAGAGTTGAGGTTTGTGATAGAAATGGGATAGTCTCCCTCTACTGGTCATTGCTACCTCTAGCTGGAACACCAGTCTCTTACTAGCTCTTATCTGCCTTTCCTGCTGGAGCAGGCAGTGATGCACTGTGTAAATCAGCAGTACTCAACCTCTGGCTGTGTAGACTGGATGAGTGACACAGAGGTAGTCTGTGGGCTGGATCCCGAACAGCATCACTGCATGGGATTGGGCCCTGTGTGCCCAGACCCTGCCTCACACTACCTGAATCAGACTCTGTGTACCCAGATCCTACCCTAGACTGCCCTGATCCCATCTTGCAATGCCCTCATCAGATCCCATGCCACTTAGATTGGGTTCCACACTGTTCTGGCCTTGTGTGCCTGATCTAGTGCACAGGGCATGCCATCTGCCCACAAAGCTCCTCATAGGTCCAAATATTTGGCAGCTGGGGATTGGCGATTAATACTGCCACTGCACCCCTGCCACCAAATATCAGCCCCATTAGAAGCCCCGCGAGCCAGATAACATGGCTTCAGGGGTTGGGTGTAGCTTGCAGGCTAGGTGTTAAGCATTCCTGGTATAAACAGTACCTATATAAACTGTCTTCTCTTGCATCTGGTGAGGCATAAAGAAACCAGAATAGCTTTAATTACACACAGATAGCTGCCTCCTGGGGCATCATGCTATATTATCTCTGCTACCTGGACTGCCCTGTACATCCAAACAGGTCTTTTATCTATTCAATGATAGTCACCACCCACTGCAATCTGTGGGAGGACTACTATCTAGGTTAGTGGCACCTATCAGTGCCATTTCTCTTGCTATCAAACCTTCCCAGCATTTGGTGCAATTAGAAAGGGCTCTAAGACAGCCCCATGACATTGACCTACCCTGAAGCCAAAACTAGCGCACCGTATCTCAGAACAGCCTTACCTGAGGTTTGGTTTCCTCCTCATCTTTATAGTAAAAGAGCTGGTCCCCACGTAGCACAAACCACCGCTGCTGCCAGTTCTTCATGATGCTCCTCTGCTTCTTCAGCCAACCGCACTTGAGCACTCGTTCCTGTGGGCTAGGAGAAGCTGGTCTTAACGGCAGCCCAGTCTGCTGTTCACCCATCACCAAACTCTTGGACCGGGCTGAAAGACAAGCACAGACAAAATGAAACGTGAGAATGTCCAAGGAAAAGACATTTTTAGAATGTAAACAACAGAGTCTGGCTGTTATACCCTTGCTTCCTAGGCAAGGACAACCTCCTCTAATGCCCCCTCCTCCCAGCATGGATGTCCCTTTCCATGTTTCCTTCCTCTTTCAGGGAATCTCTGCTTGTCCAGAGAGCAATATCAATTCCATGCTATTGAAACACCAACTAAACATTTGTCATAGCACTGTACATGCTAGCAACCCTCCAGGTGATCTCTCATACAGTCTAGGCTTATATACCTGGCTCATTAGGCCATCAGACAATTGCCTGACATCCAGGCTATTCCTTCTAGCCCATCTCAACTACTGCCAGTGCTGTGCTAGGTTCCAAGGATGCAAGACTGCTCTTAGAAGCAAGTCCTTCCAAGTAACAATGTAACCTGCCTCAATGAGGTGTCAACAGCTGTGCAGAGGCTAAAAGCAGACTCTGAAAAGCAAAAAGACTATTAACAAGGGGTGGAAACATAAGTGTAGGCTGCTCCCCCAGCAAGCCTGTTCAAAAATCAGCCTGGGTGGTACCTTTAACACCAAAATCACTGGCATTTAGCAAATAGCAAGTGCCTTTTGTGCAATTTATATGACTCCACCTTACACATTGGCACTTTAACTGGTTTAAGCTGTAAACTGAAGGCTACACTATTCATGAGTTCTTACTGAGTTAGGAAACTCCTCCTCTTTCTGAAATGATACTGTCCTAAGCCTCCCAAGCCCCATTCCAACATGTCATCATCAATGAAAATGTGCAAAGCTGCCTGGGGTCACTGGGGTGTGACACAATAGGACAAAATTAAATGAGAAATGTTAGGCTTGAACTCTGGAAAAGATTCTGGACTAGAACACTTTCCCCAAGGGAAGCAGGAAGAGCCGCACAGACCTGGTAATTTTAAACTATCCTGAAGTAACAAATACCATAATATATTGCAGAGAGTAATCCAGTGCCCTGGAGAAGATACACTAAAGACTCTAATAGGTCTCTTCCATCTCTATTCCCCCTGTTTTTATGAGGCACACAGCACTAGGAACTGCTATTCACTACCTCAGTCATTTTCCTTCATCAGCACTAACCTGATCCAGTTCCTTTCCCTTTCTATCTTGCATTCTTCCAACATTAGGGGGCTAATTGTATTTCCCAGCATTTCCTTAGTCTTAAACGGATTATCAGAACTATGTATAGACAATGTAACCCTTTCTGGTCTGCTGCACAGCAAGCAGCTAAAAGTGCTTCCTGTCCATTTATCATGTATCCCATCAGACTTGTCATCTAGTGGGTGAAATTCAAAAGTACACAAAAACCAGTGGGGCCCTGCAGCCAGTCTGAAGAGGCAGCTGGGCTTCCCTTCTTGTTCCTGGAGTCTGATAATAAGAAACCACAGAAGGTTCCTTCAGCACAGTAGGTATGATCTCACTGAAGATGGAAGCAAGTCAGACACGTACGGCATTGTGGGCTATAAGCAGAGAGCAGAAATTACCACATGGTATTTCTGAGCTCCTCCCTGTTTCATCAGTCCCATGTACTACCTTGGATCTCAGGATCATAGTCCCTCCTCTGCAGCAAGTAGCATTCAGGCTGCAGGTCTCATAGAAAGACTTCTCTCTACTTTTGACACTTCAGGATTGTTCCTCATAAAGCATCTGCCTCTGTGACATCCACACGAGCCTCTCTGTACCTCTTGCTTTTGACTCCACCACATAACATAATGTTGGCAATAGCTTGGCACAAACTCTAGAGAAAACAGAGGTGGAGAACATTTTGTTGGTAACTTTGGCCCTGATCCTGTAAGCTGCAGAGCAGCTTCTTCAATGGGCTTAGAGGAAGAGATGACCAAAAGAACCTCAGAGCACCAGCACCTGGACCTCTGTAATCCTTCATCTCCAATTTCCTCAAGGTAATCTAGTGCTGAGGAGCATATTGCTCTTTGTGGGAATCTGTCTCTGTTTCTGGTAGTAATGCCATCACCTCTAGCTTCCCATAAGAAAAATGAGGCTGTACTCCACTTGACTTGCTACTCACAAACAGGGAAGAATTGGTGGGGAATGTAGCTGTAGATGGCAATTTGGGCAGCAGCAACCACAAGATGATTGAGTTCAGGATCCGGAGGAAAGGAAGTTATAAGAAGTGGAAACTTGGACAAATAACTAGGGAGGAGTATAAGAGCACTGTCCACGTATGCAGGGATGAAATCAGGAAGGCAAAACACAGCTGAAGTTGCAGCTATGAAAGGGACATGAAAGGTAATAAGAAGGGTTTCTACAAGTCTGTCAGCACCAAGAGGAAGGTCAGGGAAAGTGTGGGTCCCTTACCAAATGCAGGAGGCAACCTAGTGACTGATAAGGTGGAAAAGGCTGAAGTACTCAATGCCTTCTTCATCTCACTCTTCACAGGCAAAGTCAACTCCCAGATTATTGCACCTGGAAGCACAGTTTGGGGAGGAGATAAGCAGTCAACAGTGACAAAACAATAGGTTCAGGCCTATTTAGAAAAGCTGGATGTGTACAAGTCCATGGGGCAGGATGAGATGCACCCAAAGGTTTTGAGGGAGTTGGCCAATGTAGTAGCAGAGCTACTGGCCATCATCTTTGAAAACTCATGGCAATCAGGAGAGGTCCCAGATGATTGGAAAAGGACAAATATAGTGCCCATCTTTAAGCAAGGGAAGAAGGAGGATCTAGGGAACTACAGACTGGTCATCCTCATCTCAGTAGATGAGCTTTGTAGATGCGGGGAGAACAGTGTATATGATATACTTTGACTTTAGCAAGGCTTTTGATATGGTCTACAACAACATTTTCACAAGCAGGGCAAGCTATAGAAGTACAGGTTGGATGAATGGACTGTAAGGTGGACAATAAACTGACTGGATCAACAGGCTTAGAGGATAGTCAGTGGCTTGATGTCTGGTTGGCAGTCTATGTCAGTCCTGGGGATGGTTTTGTTCAATGTTTTTATTGATGACCTGGAAGATGGGATGGTACACACCCTCAGCAAGTTTGCAGACAACACCACGCTGGGGGGAGCAGTGGATATGCTGAAGGGTAGGGCTAGGATTCAAAGAGACCTCAACAAATTGGAGAACTGGTTCAAAAGAAATCTCATGAGGTTCAATAAAGACAAGTGCAGAGTCCTGCACTTAGGATGGAACAACCGTCCTTAGAACAGAACAATCCAATGCACCACTACAGGTTGGGGACTGATTGGCTAAGCAGCAGCTCTTCAGAGCTGTACCTGGGGGTTACAGTGGACAATAAGCTGAGCATGAGCCAAAAGAGTGCCCTTGTTGCCAAGAAGCTAATGGCATACTCAGCTGCATTAGTAGGAGCATTAACAGCAGACTGAGGAAAGTGAATATTCCCCTCTATTCAGCATTGGTGTGACCATATCTGGAGTACAGTGTCCTGTTTTGGGCCCCACACTACAGAAAGGATGTGGACAAATTGGAGAGAATCAAGCAGACAGCAATGAAAATGGTGAGGGGGTTGAGAACATGACTTCTGAGGAGAGGCTGAGGGAACTGGGCTTATTTAATCTAGAGAAGAGAAGATTGTGGGGGGATAGCAATCTTCAGTTATGCAAAAGGTAGTTCTAAAGATGTTGGAGCTAAACTTCTCAGTGGTGGCAAATGACAGTACAAGGAGCAATGGTCTCAAGTTGCAGCAAGGGAAGTTTAGGCTAGATATTAGGAAGAACTTTCTCACTAGGAGGATACTAAAACACTGCAACAGGTTACCCAGAGAGGTGGTGGAATCTCCATCCTTGGAGGTTTTTAAGACCCAGCTAGACAAAGCCTTGGCTGGGATGATATAGTTGGGGATGATCCTGCTTTCAGCTGCAGGTTGGACTAGATGACCTGCTGATGTCCCTTCCAACCCTAATTTTCTATGATTATATGATAATGTGACAACAACAAATTTATATGGCCAAACCAAAAGTCATTCCACAAAGTGTAGTCATGGTAGAGTAATGATCCGATTGATTTCCCTATTATTCTTTACTGGAAAACTCTAAATCATATTATTCCCCAGTTATGCAGCAATGGGAAGGGATGGGGCTTTTCCCTGGCTTAGGGAACTGCTCATGTCATTTACAATGGCATAGAACGCAGCCAGCATGATCTCAGCTAATTTCCCAGTTCTATAAGGAGAAAATGCTATCACCTCATTATCCATGTAAGTGGTTAGCATGCAGTAAAGCCCTTCCAGTCACACACAGACATGGAAACTCTTTCACTTTTCTAGGAAATCCAGAGCCACTTCCAAAGTAAGCACTACTGTCTTCATTAGAGCTGTGTACATAATGAAGTTTTCATTTGGGGCCCAACACAAAATGGGAAAAATAATTTCGGATTGATGTGGCATGTTTTATTTGACCCCCCCAAAATGTTGCATTTCTTTATCTTAAAAATCAGTTAATTCTAAAGTAAAAGTTCATTTAGAAACAAGCAGTTTCAAACAAATGTTATGGTTTTGGCCACAACAAAAAAAGGGACCAACGTTTTAGAAAACTACGTGTTGCATTCACACAGTATTTAAAAACAATATTTTTCATCAAATTTACTATTTGATAAACAAATCAAATCCAACTCTAGTCCTCATTGATTTTATTCTTTTCCCCATCCAAAGGAATAATAAGCCCTTTTCAGATGGAATCCCCTTCAATTAGCCACAATATCCCATTCTCAAATGTACCAGGGTAAAGATGGGCTGCCTTTCTTGCCAATTCATGTTAGGTCCTAAACTCCAGAAAGCAGAATAAGAGACCATTGACCCTTTACAAGACTCTGTTATCACTTATCAATACTACTCTTTATACAACTATCACAACTCTGTCCTCTAGCAGTCAATTATAAAAGAATGAGTGCTAACTTTTTCCTTCTTTTAAACACTGTCTCCAGCGAGGAACACCTGATTAACACTGCATTATATTTACATTGCAAAAGTA